CTCAACTTCTGCATTTACTATCCACCAGATGTTTGGGAGATGCAGTCCGATGATCCTTTTTTTCAGTATTTATGTTTATTGCACTTCACACTCACAATGAAGCTTTAGAATTCCGTTTGGCCATTTGGTTCACAACCACCGAACCTTTCTCGTGGATCCGTAACTCACTTCATTTTTAATGCAGTTTGTGAAAATTTCTGTCATTCAGTGTGTGTTGTATTTATACTAGGTAAGTTAATATAATTCTAATGAAGTAATCGTTTTAATTTTTACGTGCTTCTATTGTTTTTGATAACTGTACGTAAATAACAAAAACAGCGCTTTGCCATAAAATGTTGCAAAGGTATGTTACTGCAATTTTTTATAAACTAGGTGCTAATGAACATAATTTTACTCTATATGTGCGAAACAAAAGAAATTCTAAAGGAAACGAGTGAACAAATCTCCAACATGAAAACGTCATCAAATCTGACAAATCAAAAAGAAAACAGTAATAGAAGATATGCCGCCAGACCACAGCTAAACAAATTTTGAGGAATTAGAAGATTATCTTTGCCTACTACAACAAGCAGGTTTCTTTGTAAGTTAAAAAAATACAATAAATTTATATGTACTTACATATAACATAATATTTGATATTATATACAGGTAGATGCCTGCAATACTATAACACTTTTTAGGAACCTACTAAACATGACACATTTCGTTTAACACGTTACATACATAGTGGGTTGCAGAAAAGTCTTATAGTGAAGCACCCTGTATTTTATACATACGCGGTGACTTCCAAATAGATTCGGAGAAAAAATCCTTTAATTGTCACACGGATTCAAAGTAATTAAATTGCTGCTCAAGTTTCAAGAAACAAATACGAACATCTAGTTAAATGTCAATGATGCGGCAATGATTTATTCAGTTTCCATTGTGACTATATTTTTTCTTTGTTTTGCTGTGTATTGCTTAGATGAAAACAAATAATGGCACTGAATGGGGTGTAGATCTTGATATTTTTTCCCTGAATTAGGACTAGATAAAAGAAATTATTTAAAATTTTCTCTACTTCGTGATGTTGTGGTTTTATTTTTCGAACTTATTTCACAGTCATTCGGTATAAACACATAAAAATATACACTTTTTCTTATTTTAGGAACTGCTATTGTCCCAGATAGGTGGTAATGGGAAAAAGAACAATGTGGGGCGTGTATTAAAAAATATATTTTTCACCGATTGCTGTAGCTTGTTCGTTCAGTAGGAAAATTCCAGAATGGCTGGGACAAAAACAATGAATATCATGAAAGGTATTATTTTGCAATAAATATAATTATTACAGTTTTTATTTTTGAAGAAATTACAATGAAGACCCATTCCGCAATAGAAAAAGAAGTAGAACAACCCTGCTCAGAGTGGCTACGACATTCTAGTCAACGCCTGAAGAAAGAAAAAACGACAGTTTATAGTTTCTGTGTCTTTTTTTAAGTGTAAATTATATTGTTTTATATTCGAATTAGGAAATCATATATATATTTATTTATTTATATTATGAATTTATATTAATTTTTGTATTTTATTACTTATTACATATTATATTTTTTCAAACATTGAATAAAATAATAATTTACTGTAAGCTCTAAATTTTACTCTCCATATCCATATCCCTAAATGATACATATAAATGGTAACTAGACTTTTTGAAATGCTTATTCATATCGCATAGAGCATGTTAATAAAATATACTGAGAGTCATACGTTTACGATGTTGCGATATATACGTAACGTCTATGTCCATTTAATACGTTATATTGGCGTTTAAAATAAAACGTAACAGATACATCAAAATATAGAGAATCTAGCGACATACTAACACAACGTTATGATGATGTACCAGCGAGCACGTCTCTAGTCTGAAACAATGTGAATGTGACCAGTATGTTAGAAACATGGGTCACTGTTGATTACATTACATAGCACAAGGAAAGCAAATGTACGCAGTTTGGGGTGTAACAGCTAACAAGATCGTAGATAGAGTTAAGTGACATTAACATCGCTACGACGTAACTGTGTTTACTGGGTTTGAACAAAAGTGTTGCATTTGATCTCTGAGGCCTCTATGAATCTGTACAAGGTTGTATATTAATTGCAACTGGAGTGATTTAATTGACCCGTCAGATGGACAGTAGACGCTTCCCATGTTTGGTGACAGAAGTCATTTATTTATGAAATTCGGAGAAGAAAATCTTAGACAAAGGGATATACCTTACCTGACGCCACGGGGATATACTTTTTATCAATTCCTTTATTCACGCCTTATCGGTAGCATCCTATTCTGTTTGCGATATTTTCTTTTTTCTTGACTTGATCGTTTCTCCTTTCGTATATGTATCCTTTGGCGTTCTTCTGCCAGCAGGTATATCGGAATCATGCCCGCAATTACCATCGGACCATCATACGAAGCTGTTTATTTGGCGAACGATTTTTGTCAATTATTGTGCACACAATTCCCGAATTATTCGTGCGCACTTAACAACGAGTCCAATTATTCTTTATTTAATTTTCTGCTCTGGATGTCAGTATTGTGTTCGAAAAACTATTAATGGGAGTAAGTGCAGGACCCTTGAATATGCACAAGATGGAAATTTCGCTTAGAGAACAAGCAGAAAATTTGCAATTCAGGAATCTACTCCTAGAAAAAGAACGAAACTTCAGCATAAAGTCGATGTGGGGTGTCGTCTTGGAGAACACTGAATATTTAATAAACAGGAAGAGGCTGCGTTTGTTAATTACGTTTCACAAGTGGGTAAATATTGCCGTGGTCTCACAAACACTGAGTCGCACAAATTAGCTGTTCATTACGCACATAACTTAAATGAAGTTTTAAAACAGAAACAGGATTTGCGAACAAAAATTTCTATCAATTATTTTTAAACTCAAATTCAAATTTAAACATATAGTAATGTTAGAACCAGCACGGTTTATGTGTGCTACGTTGAAAACAACTAGGACAAAATTTCAAGTAAATAGATTGTGAAATATGACGTGATGTTTTTTAAAAAATGTGAAATTTTAAGAAAAATTCGCCTTTATGACAAATTGTACAATGTATATACATATTTGGAAATATGTATCAAGGAAATCGAAGCGATAATTTTACTTCTACTGTACCTTTTTATGTCCTTAAAATATGCAATAATCGACTGATCAAACTACTTAGACAGTAGATAAAACCATGGACTTACAAAATACTAGAACCAAAGATAAGACTGGATATAACTGGATCAGCTACTTTGTGTGCTTTTATCAAATAATAAGATATCGTTCATTAATTTGGGCCTAACCAATTTTTCACCACACTAAAACATTTACGTTTGATCATTTACATGACAAAGAAAGACCTTTAGTACCAGATTTCGATAATCTGAAAATAGAAGTTAATCGGAAAGTTCGTAGGTAAGATATGTAAAATATGAAGCGATTTCTTTGAAATGATAAAGAAAAATATGTAACAACAACAAATAAGTCATATGTATATATTTGCTGTCAGGTGATCTCGTCTGTCGCCAGGGAAGATAAAATATTTAAATACGTCAAAATGTTACCTATTATTTCAACAATTCCATTAGTAACAATGTTATAATATACGTGTGTCCCAGACGAAACCTTGAATATATTTTGAACATGATATTTGTGCATGATCACACGAAACAACTACATGGTGATTAAAAAAATAAAGTTCAAGTTGAAAATGAAATACAGTTTTGATATGAAATAAAATTATGACGATTTTTTGTACTAAAAGACGAAAAAACTATTTTTGTTTAATATTTGGCACCTTTAAAGTCTCGTATCTTGTTCCAGTTCACTATCACTCCTTTCTAGAAATCGCGTGTTTAAAAATTTTTGAAAATATTGTGATACATTTATAAACGCAAAATTGCATTCAATTTCATCAAATTGTGACTTTTATTACAGGAAAAAGAAGAAAATTTGCGGTCTTATTGACGTAAAATATTAACACTGTAATTCTATAAATTTTTGAACATATAGATTTCGAAATTTTTTCTTGCAAACGAAGCTCATTTAATACTGCATATTTTTAACACTAATTGTCAATTTAAATTTACTAAATTTGTAGGGGAAAAGGGGTGAAGGTAGCTTTCGCAGTCATATTTCAGGCGAAAAATCTATATATTGTTGTTAAAATTGTTTTTATCAATTTTTCTCATTTATATCAACGCGCTTTAGTTTTTAATTATTTTTGTTGCAGTCAATGGTGCCTTGTCATTATGAATCAGCGCCTTATTTTTTTTAAACTTTCTTGCTAAAATCAATGAGAAATTTCCCTTCCTAAAAATCGAAAAATAGGAAAGTAAAAAAAACAAAAATCAAGAAAAAAAAGGGACGGAAAATCCAAAAATTGAAAAATCGGAATGCCTAAAAATCGAGAAACGACAAATCTTGTGGAAAAATCCAAGTCAAGAACCCAAAAATCTAGAATTTGTAAATTGCGAAGTCGAAAAAAAGAAATGTTGAAAAATCCAAAAACCAAAATCGAAGAATTGAAAAATCTGAAATTCGAAAAAAGACATATCCAGAACCTTAAAGACAAAAATAGTTGAAACTTCAAACAACTCTTATCTCAAAGAGTTTTCAAAATTTTAATCAGTTTCATCTCTTTCGGTAGAAAAGGGTTTTTGACCATTGACTCATATACTTGAAATAATTCATATTACTAAATACTATAATTAAAAATTGAAAAAGCATTTATTATTATCAATCATTTTTTACAAATAACACTCACTGAAAATAATCAATTTATGTTGGACAAATAAACCCAGACCGTTTTTACCACAATATTATCAAAATTTTACTCCAAGTGTTTTTTAATTCATTTTTTCATTAATTTTAATGTATATCTCTCCAATAATAAACTTATTGATTATCAAACCACTTGAAACATAGAACTGCTTTCAAGTTCAAGTTTTACCTTCACGATATAAAAAGACAAAAGGCAATTAATGACATAGTATACCCACAGAATGTACACAAACCTGATACTATTGGTCTCTTTTGTTGCCCAAATTTGGGCAGCTCCAAATAAACAAAGTAAGTATTTAGTTGGTATTCACTTTTCAGTCTTTAAAAGTTGACCAAACATAGATGATGGTATGCACCCCCATCTTCCCGTCAATCCAATTGGCTCTCTTAAAGTAGACCCCGCGGAGGACACATCTGCGTACTGGAACGAAAATGCTCAGAAAACCGTTCAGGAAATCATCTCCAGACAACTGAATGAAAGTAAGACAAGTTTCCTCTTATTTACGTATCTTTTAATTCGTTAAATTTTCTAGACGTGGCGAAAAACGTTATTCTTTTTCTTGGGGACGGTATGTCAATACCTACAATTGCAGCCGCTAGGGTATACAACGGTGGTGAAGAAATTCAGTTAGCTTTTGACAAATTCCCATATATGGCATTGTCTATGGTAAATTATGCATATTTTTTGTCAGTTATTTGGTAAAATATTGCAGACTTATTCTGTCGATAAACAAGTACCTGATTCAGCAACCACTGCTACGGCTTATTTGGGCGGAGTTAAGGCTAACTATGGTACAATAGGTGTAGGACCAGAAGTACCACGTGAAGATTGTCTTGGTATGCTAAATGTATCCAACCATGTACTTTCCATAGGATATTACTCTCAACTACAAAATAAAAGAACTGGTTTGGTAACCACAGCAAGAGTTACTCATGCTTCTCCGGCAGGAGTTTACGCACACACCGCAGAAAGAGACTGGGAAGCAGACAGTGATGTCTTAGACAGTTTTAAAGACCCCACAGTCTGTACAGATATTGCTACTCAACTCGTCTATGGTGAAACTGGGAAAAACTTGAACGTGATTTTTGGCGGAGGACGAAATCGACTTTTACCAGAAGAGATAGAAGATGAAGAAGGACACGACGGAAAGCGAGTTGATGGTGTCAACTTAATTGAAAAGTGGTTAGAACAAGCAGACGACCGACAATACATTTGGAACCGAGACCAACTGCTGGCTTTGGACACATCTAACGTCAGTAGCATTCTGGGTTTGTTTGCTCACGCCCACATGGATTATAACTTAGACAGGGACACCACCATGGACCCCTCGCTAGCTGAAATGACCAAAGCCGCTATAGAAATTTTGAGTACAGGTGACAACGGGTACTTTTTGTTTGTAGAAGGTGCTAGAATAGACATGGCTCACCATGACGCTGAAGCCAGAGTTGCCCTCGACGAAACTATCGAATTTTCAAAAGCTGTTCAGGCAGCTGTTGATTTGACTGACGAAGCTGATACGTTGATTATTGTGACGGCAGATCATGCTCACACTTTGAGTTACAGTGGGTATGCTAGTAGAGGAAATGATATTTTAGAATTTGGGGGAAATGGCATTGATGGTAGGGTGTATACCACGATCAATTATGCTAACGGTCCTGGGTATAAAATGAGCGATGCTGATGGTTCAAGGCATGATATTAGTGAAGATGATTATGGTAGGTTTTTCAGGTTATGTACTGTGATTACTAAGATGGTGTTTCAGGTGATGACCATTATGCTTTTCCTTCGGTTGCACCACTAGATTCTGAAACACATGGGGGTGATGATGTAGCTGTTTATGCTCGAGGGCCATGGGCGCACCTTTTCACTGGAAATCTGGAACAAAATGTTATACCACACTTGATGTCTTATGCTTCCTGTGTGGGTACAGGTTATACAGCTTGTGATGCTGCTAATTAAATCCAAACACAGTTTGCTGTAAATAAATATAGCCTGTATAAATTTGCAATATACGGAAGTTGTGGAAAATTTTTATTTTCTTTATTAGACTTTTCGGTACCTCCTAAGACTAGGTCATTAACATTTTTACAAGTTGTTGAAAATTTCTCAACAAAACTCAGTATTAGAATTATTCAGAGTGAAGTGAAGAGAATTTGTATGAATTACGATGCACAAGCCAGACAATAAGCTGCGTCCAGAAGTCAATATCAATAAAATCTAGTAGTACTATTTTTGGACCTGGACAAAAGCTGTTCTGTATGTTAGAATATGTTTTGTTAAATTTAGGTACATTTACTCAAGTTATTTTATATCTGTTTTTTTTTGTTTTTTTTTTTGAAAGTTAACTTTTATTTACTATTGTGTTTATATTTAATTTTTATGTCCTTCTGGATCTTTTTGTTTCACTATTAATTGTATGTATTTATCTTAAGGGGTATCCGTTGAATAAAAATAAAATAAAATAAAAAGCGATGTCTTGTACTTTCTGGTTTTTAAGATTAATTTCATTTTGTTAACCGTTGCTGAATTTAAAGAAAATTTCTTTTGAGGCTTAAGAGGAATCGCTACGTTTGACTCTTATGGTGTTATATAACTTATCTACAAGTTTCACTATATTATATGTTTTAAATTTTGTTGAAATATTTGCATCACTTATTTTAAAAAATCTATATTTTCCTTATTTATGGAAATTTTGGAACGCGGTTTTCACCACTATTTTCAGCTTGCAAAAAAGTTGAAAACCTTGTTCCGAAATTTCCTTAAATAATAGAAATATCGATTTTTAAAAATGCATAATGCAAACATTTCACTAAAATTAAAAAATTGGTCTAAAGAGTTTAGACAGTACTTCCCTCGCTGTCGGAAACGTGACGACTGCATGTCTATTATGTTTTTTTTTTTCGCAGTAGATTTCAAAGCATTCGGTTTCGTAGTTCCTGAGTAAACCAATAAAATAAATTTACGCATTCATTATTTTTTTTAAGTCATCTGGTATATCCAAATTCAAAAAATATGAATGGAATGATAAATTACAAGTATAGACTCATCACATTTTGTACGTTTTAGATTGGATTTATTCAGCAAAATTTTGTGATGACGTTCTAATTTTTTTAGGGGGATGAGCAAATACATTTTGATCAAACACTTACCACGCTTATTTATGATAATTTTAAAACATCTTCAAGATTTCAAAGCATCCGGTTTTGTAGTTCCTGAGCAAATCAATAAAATAAATTTACGCAGTCATTAATTTTTTTGAGTCACCCTGTATATGCAAATCCAAAAAATATGAATGGAATGATATATCACAACTACAGACTCATCATATTTTGCACATTTTAGACAGGATTTATTCGGTAAACTTTTGAGCTGACGTCATCAAGTTTTTGGAGGGGATAACCAAATATATTTTGACTAAAGATTTATGATGATCTTTATAGCCTTAAAATATCTGCAACATTTCAAAACATTCGGGTTAGCAGATTCAAAATTAAATTGCAAAATGTTGTTTTACAATTTTGATTTTTTTTTTCTAAAAATCTGGACGTTTCGGGTAAAAACTCAATTCGGAGTCGTAAACTACATGTGTAGGACTAAGTTATTTTATACAATTTAAAACCCATTTACTGTGTACAATTTTGAAGTGACGTCATCGCATTAGTGGTGGGGATGATTAGATAAATTTGGGTTAGCGTTTAACCATCTACATGATATTCCTAATATAAGTACAAAATTTCACAACAATCGGTCCAGTACTTTCGGAGACTATCTATCTAATAAAAATCCGGGACGGCAGACAGACGGACAGACGGACAGACGTACAGACCGACGGAAATGGAAGAACTATTTCTTCGTCTTCTAGGGGTCATGAAAGATCGAGAAAACGTAAAAGTAGAAAGTCGGCCAACGAACTCGATTACAATACTTCCTTTGCTTACGCTCGGGAAGTAAAAAAGGTATGCTCACAAACAGTTTTTAACAAAATATTGTCCTAATTTTAAAAGTTTGCAACCATAAGACTATTAATAATGAAGATATTACAATCTGAAAATTCCATGCAGAAAACGTAGCTACTAAATAATCACTTGGTTGAAAAAACACGCTAGAAATATTTTGGTCACTTTTTACTAACGCAGAATATTACAATGATATTTACAATTAAAACATTGCAAATTTGAAGAAAAAATTTAACGTATCTTGCTTTCTGTAGATACTTGTTCATCTGGTGCTTTTTATTTATCAAGCGTTCGGGAAGTTTCGAGAAACGGAACGGTTACTGACATGTTTTCTGGATGTTTCATGACCCCTAGAGTATGAAAAAATAGGTTCCCCGTTTCCATCTGTCTGTCTGTCATCTGTCTAACAGATCTGTCTGTCGTCTGTCTCTCTTCTGTTTGTCGTCTGTATGTATTTTTGTTACACAGATAATTTCCGAAACTACTGTACCGATTATTGTCAAATTTTATGTGTATGTTATGAATATCGTGCAGTTGGTAAAACGCTTACCAAAACTTGTCTAATCATCGCTACTAACAAATTAATGACGGTCCCTAATCATTTTGAGAAGTTAAGGTTATCTAAATGTTTGGAATAAGATAGTCCTGTATTCGTGGTTTATGAATCCCCCTTAATTTTTATCACAATTACTTCACAAAAAAAAATATTTTTTGTTCAGTGTTTTTTTTCACTGTGAATTGTATTTATTATCCCATAGTTTTTACTTACATGGGTTACCTACCATAAAAGACCAAAATTTTGCAAAATCAAACTTTCTGATTTTTTGAAAAGACTGGATTTGTTCGATTATATGTACTTAAGGAACGAGTGAAGTTCTCTCTAAATAACCTTAGACCACTTGTTTTATTTAACTTTTGCTTGAACCGAGCAATATCTTGTAACCATGTTGTTAAAATGTAATCCAAGAGATGCGTTTAAGCTTATATCTTCCTAACTTAAAATGAGTCTAAAGTTGGCACTGTCTGTCATTATTTTTAATTTAATTATTTGTAGGATTGAAAGACAAAAAATAGCGACTGGTCTGTTTGTACTTTTTATTTTATTTATTTTTCATTCCAAATTTTTCGCAATCTATTACGAAACTTTTCCTGTGGCGGTTAAACAAAACAAACGACATGCGAATAGTACAACGATGACCTTTTAAAATAATTAAAAATACAGTGGTAGTTTAGAATACCGTTCTCAACTTACACCGTCACGCAATTAGTGTAAATGATGCTTTTCGCACACTAAAAGAAGAAAATGAAAATAGACGAATTTTAGCACAAAAACAGTACAACAAAACCAAAATCGAAACATCTTATAACAGAAGTAGACAATCTGATAAAAAATTTATCTGAAATTATATAGACACGATTTCCCTCGCCTCTGAAGCACAGTCGAACAAATACAGCTTCTTCAAAAAGGAGGTCCGCACTGTTACCGACAATATTAAACATATTGTTACGAAAGAAACCCATATACCGCCCCGGTACGACGCCTATGGGTTCTAGTATGTACGGCGATGATGACTCATTGTCGGTGACGCCGACCGGAGAAAAACCTGGAAGCGGAAGTCGCAATGGGCGATTCAGAAAGACCTCGACTGCGGAACTTCTAGAAGGGAAGTATGACTTTAAATAGAGGCCACCTTCGGGAATGATGATTCAGCCAATTCAGTCGAGTCGAGTCCTGTCAATGTTAAGAGAAGGCAGCCAAGTTGCGTCGGAATTATCTTGTACATTATCGTTGTCGTGTAAATTCGACTTACTAAGAAATAAATTGTTGAGTTGTACCCACCCCGATTTTTAATCACTGATCATCGTAACAATATTTAAAACATAACCAATGCGAAAAATTGTGTGCTCAACTTCTATTGTTTATCTATACATCGGAAGAATGCGACCAAACTGGTTAATTAAGTTACAATATAATGAAATCATTCTTATTTTATTATTATTAAAATGCAGACGAACGCAACATTACAGTACTCAATTTTTCGAAGAAATAGGGTAAATAATGGATTTCTTGATGTGGTAAAAAAAATCTAGGTAATAAAAAGAGTCACCGTTTAAAAAAAAAATCGGGAACAGTCCCTTCTATGGTACTGAGATTTTATTAGCATGGCACTTGTACTAGTATTAAAGGTGATAATTCGATTTGGATTTTTTTGCTTTTGTTATCTAGGGGAAAAATTCAAAGCAGACTCATACACCACAAGTATCGTAGTATATTATTGTATAACATTTAAATAATTTCAAAGTGGAAACTTTTGAGATGATGTTATCAAAATATTGGCGTGGATGATTAGCCAAATTTTGGTTAGCGTTTTACCATCTACACCCAAAATACATATAAAATTTAGCAACATTTGGCCCAGTAGTTTCGGAAATTATCTTTCTAATAAAAATCGACACAGACAGACAGACGACAGACAGACGGACTCTAGAAGTCATGAAACTTTAAGAAAACATGAAAATAGTCAGTCGTCCGATGAACTCGATTGCGATATTTTCTTAGCGACAGTTCGAATCTTGATGAAGTCATTCGACTATTCAGGCATTATTGTACATGGTTAATGATATTATAGCAGACATGGACGATGGTAAAGTCGTATGGGCAACGTTTCTGGATTTGAGCAAAGCTTTAATACGCGAAATCATGGCTTATTATTACAAAAACTATACTTCTACACAATTCTATCTAAAAAATCGTCATCACTGTGGCATAAAAATAATTCTCATGGGGTGGCACAGGGGTTAATTCTGTGACTCTTGTTATTCATTGTTTATATTAACGACTTACTAAAGGGAGTCGTAATAGTAATTATAATTAATTAGTGCAGTCGCTGATAGGAAAGCGTCAGTTTATCAGAGTTGGGTCCCCGATAAGTTAGTAATGAACTCCGGCGAATCATCGAACTTGTGTTTTTGGCTACAATCTGATAATACAACTGATGACTTGCTAAGTACAAAGTCGTTGGGTATAGTAAATGATAATCGTTTCATAGGGAAAGCTCACATCGATTATTTAGTTTCGAAAGTGGCTCCTGTTATATTTCAAATAAGAAAGTCATTATTTTATTGTGACTTAGAGACAGTGCCAGCAAAATTTACTATTCCTTTACAAATTTTAAAAAGTTCAACAAAGTACTCATTATATATATTTATAAGTGCCACACTTGGTAATCAGATTCTTCTGTTGATTAGAGATAAATCCTTAGTTGTTCTGAAGAGTAAAATTCGAAATATACAAAAAAAAAAAAATAATAATAAACACAGGTGCAAAAAGGGTACGCAGTTTAAGACTATATCCGGTATTTTCAATAAAAAGGGATATTGTAATAAAAACTTTCTGGTCTGAGTTTAGCATCAGGGGAATTTTTCTTGTTCAAGAATCGAGAACAGAATTTGTTTAAGTCCCATATAAATATATAAATAACTTTATCAGATATCGTAAGTATGCTCTTTCATTAAGTATACTTGAAAGCAGCCGATACGTTGAAATGTTTTTATCTTGTTTTTATTTAATAACATTTAATTTATAATTTTTAAGTGGATACAGCATAAACAAAATTTACGTACTTAGTAAAATTTCAAATCAATTAATTGTACTGAATAAGATCAGAAAGTGTAGCTTAAACGTGATAAGTATCGTAAATGTTTATTGCTAAATACTTATAAAACTTAACTTTGGTTAGCAACAGTCGCTAACTGATATCCCCAACTATATTGTCTCAGATATTGTTTATATTGTCTACTTCAAAGTAGGAGATATCAAATTAAAGCGAATACGTTTTGATTGTCATTTAAAACAAGTTATACAATTTTTGTTTTGTGATTATACTAAATTAAGTATCTAATAGTACCGGGTGACTATTGATAATTGAAGCAAATTTTTGGGTTGGCACTTCTAAATTGTTGGTGGCAGATTAGCAACTCAGTACACAGTTGTCAATGATGAGTCCGTCTAGAAACCAATGAGACGATAGTAACTACTGAATTGGTGCCAAAAATTTCAAATTGTGATCAGGTATGCCACCATAAAAGTTTGAAATGTTGCCAACTTGGATATTGACAGTTTCTCAAAATTGACTGCCTTCGTGAAGAGTCGCTCCACTGATTATGTATCAGAAAAGTTGAAGATATTTTCAAGGAAGCAAAACCAAGGAAACATAAAACTAATAATACTTCAAAACACATCGAGCAAGAATTTTCAACATTTTAAATGAAACTGGAGTAGTGGGTTACATTAAAATGTTTAGACAATAAAGGTATTTGCGACCAAATCATGTTAAAATTCAAAAGTTTTTTTTTGTGTTGTAATAACGACAAATGTTCTTGCAACACCTAGGAATCAAGACATTTGGGCAAAATCCTACAAAAATTGCAAAGAACCTGAAGATACTCGATGCTGACAGTACACGGGATATTTCCATTTCTCCAACAAGTGAATCAATCAACAAAACTACAACCTTAACAATTAGCGGAAACTCGAACTATACATTTTATATTAAAACGAATTAGTAGTAAAATAACTTACTGCTTTATTTTTTTCTTAACATAAAATTTTGACAAGAGATAAGGCTATACTTTAGTTGTACCCACACTGACCACTTTATGGTACAATAAATCGTGTATAATAAAAATCGCACCATAATGTGACGGATTATAAACTACTAATTAAGGTATTAACGGTGTATAAGGCACCTAACGCACCAGGCCGACAGTATTCTCCTGAGGGCGTCCCGCTTTTTATTTTCCCCTTAGATTAAAAATTTTTAATATGAAGTTTCAAAATAACTATGACTATAAAAAATTGTCATTATAGCCCATTTAACATACCTCGTTCCCAAATAATGATTAAGTGAAACATAAAATTTTAATGTATCAAAAGGCAATTATCAGACTACTTCACAACAAAATTTTTATCATATCAAGCCACTTGAAGGCGGAACAGTTTCAAGTTCAAGTTTTTACAGTATCGTCATATATAAAGACATGAAGCACCATTTTAGGACAGTAAATCAACATGTACACCAACTTGATATTATTAATCCTGGCCAGCGCCCATATTTGGGCAGCTCGTATTGAGCTCAGTCAGTATTTGGCATCTCCACATTTATTTTTAATTTTGATTTTTCAAAAACACAGGTGACCATGACATGCACCCTCACCTTCCCGCAGTGGCAAACCCTTCCGACGTAGATCCAGCAGAAGGTACATCTAGCTACTGGATAGACAACGCTCAAAAAACCGTCCAAGAAAAAGCTACTCGACCACTAAATCAAAGTAAGTCAGTCGCGTCGACTTTCACGTCTTCTAACCTCTTCTAATGTGACAGATACAGCGAAAAATGTGATTCTTTTTCTTGGGGATGGTATGTCGATACCCACAATTACAGCAGCTCGTGTCTACAATGGAGGCGAAGAAACTCAATTATCGTTTGAGAAATTCCCATACACTGCACTATCGAAGGTGAGTTAATTTTGTTAACTTTCAGTTTCTGGAAAGTAGAATTGTAGACTTATGCTGTCAATCGACAAGTGGCTGATTCTGCAAACACGGCTACTGCGTATTTGTGTGGAGTCAAAGCCAACTACGGTACCATTGGTGTTGGACCTGAAGTAACACGATACGACTGTCCGGCCATGACAAACACCACAAACTACGCCCACTCTATTGCCTACTATTCTCAGTTACAAGACAAAAAGACTGGTATTGTAACCACAGCTAGAGTTACTCATGCGTCTCCTGCAGGTGTGTATGCTCACACTTCTAATAGAGACTGGGAATCAGACAGTAATGTCCTGAATGACGACGAAGACCCAGAAGTTTGTGCAGACATAGCCACCCAGCTGCTTGAGGGTGACACTGGCAAGAACGTGAACGTGATTTTCGGAGGTGGAAGAGCAAAATTTTTGCCAAACGATGTGGAGGATGATGAAGGTCACAAAGGAGACCGAAGCGATGGGGTTGATTTGATTAAAAAATGGGTATCTGACAGAGATAGTGCCCAATATGTGTGGAACAGAGACCAGCTTCTGGCTTTGGGTGATGTACAGAACGTTCTGGGTTTGTTCGGGCATGACCATATGGACTACAACTTGGACAGAGATAACACCATGGATCCCTCGTTAGCTGAAATGACGGAAGCCGCTATTAAAATTCTAAGTACAGGGGAAAATGGCTATTTCTTGTTTGTTGAAGGTGCTAGGATAGATATGGCTCACCATGGTGCCGAAGCACGAGTTGCTCTAGACGAAACGGTTGAATTTGCTAAAGCTATTCAAGCAGCTGTAGATTTGACAGATGAAGCTGATACACTGATTGTAGTGACGTCTGATCATGCCCACACTATGAGCTACAGTGGTTATGCTAGTCGACACAATGACATTTTGGAGTTTGGTGGAACTGGTAGTGATGGTAGGGTTTATACTACATTAAATTATGCTAACGGTCCTGGTTATAAGTTGAATGATGCTGATGGATCCAGGCACGATATCACTCAAGATGATTACGGTACGTGGTATTGAAAAAAGTGTACATAAGGTTAGAATTTTTGTTTTAGAGGCAACACATTATCGGTTCCCGGCAGTCGCACCATTGGGTTCAGAAACACATGGTGGTGACGATGTTGCAGTTTTTGCTCGAGGGCCATATGCTCATCTGTTCTCTGGAACTATAGAGCAAAATGTTATTCCGCATTTGATGTCGTACGCTTCGTGTGTTGGCGAAGGTTACACAGCTTGCATGGATAATCAAAATAAACAAAAAGTACACAATTACATTTAGATATTGTAGATTGTATGATCGTTATTAAAGTTGATGATGCTGATAAAAGTCATTACAGTTTAGCTAGCTTGCTTATGCAATACCAGCTTGAACTATGAAAACAAAGGTGAAATATTTTAATTGTTGAGCGATCAAAATTGTAGGATATTTATAAATTATTTCAGTGCAAAAACAAGTTGTAAGTACTGCACTCGAACTCACTAAAAATCATCGATAAAATGATAATTTCAGTTTAGTAAGTGCCAAATTGTGCATATTGAGACAACAATCTTGAGTGATATTAGGGTTAAAAACATTTTTATGAGGCATTGTTCACATTTAAGATAGTTTATCTCATTGATGTCCTTTATGATTAAGTTCAAGCATTTTTTACGAAGAAAATAATAAGCAAAGATAAGAAATAAGAGCTTGTTAAAAATTAATTAAACACGAAAAATGTATCATTTATATCATTATCTTTGTTTCCTGATCTATGTCTCCTCCTTATCTCGTTCAACTTAATGTTTTTCAATTCTGTAACCACTTTAGCTTCCTCTGTCTACATTTTTCTTGATCTTCTTCTTCGTTTTCGGTCCATTAAACTAACTGGGTTTATTCTTCGAACTGAACTGTCTGGTTCTATTCTCATTACATGTTCCAGAGATCTTCTATTTCTAATCTTGTTTTTTTTTTCAATTTTTCTGAGAAATGTCATGTCAGATTTGTATAGAATCTTCTCTTTTTGACTCTTTGTTGTCGTTCAAGTTTCAACCCCAAAATTTTATAACCTTCAGTTTTAGTTCATGTTTTTGTGCTGTGGTACGTATTATTACTGTCTCGATCTCCTCTGTATATATGAATTTTTCCAGATTTTCACTAAATATTCTTAAGTTTTCGTTCATAGTTTTTGCTTCATCAAATTTCATTTTCTTTTATGCGGCTTCTGATGCTTGTACGTGATTACTGATTATAGTCGAATTCTTTTAAAGTATAGACATCAATACTCAAAGTTAACCATGTAATTCCTGATAGTTCATATTCTCGGTGCTTATCTGGTTTAAATATGTTTTCCATCAATCGCACTACTTTATAGAGGTTATCACAAAACAAAAATCGCAAAATCAAATTGCCTAATTTTTCAAAGAGGCGGGATGTATTTCAGGGGAGAGGTAAGTTCTGCCGAAATAATATTCGACCAATTTTTTATATTCTCGGGGTTATGAATACGAAACGTCGATAAAACATGGATTCTATTAGAATACTTTTCTAATTTACCCTCCGAAAATAAACATGTAGCTTTATTGTATAAGTTAAACGGAACACTCTATATGTTTCAAAATACTTTTAAATTATAGCTCAATTAAATTGCGTTGAAGATTTTTTTTACAGTGTACAGCGAATGTTTTTTTTTCCACCCTTTGACCGTTTGAACACCCCAAATGAATTTATTTTACATGAGTATTTTGCCAGAGTTGGTGAAAAAATTTGAATTCAGTGTTGTGTCATTACCTGTCGAAAAATAAAATATTTTCGAAAGACGTATTTAAATCGGATTTTCTAATTTGTTTTTGGCCAGTTGTCTGTAAAAGTCGTAATTTCTTATTCTTCCACACAGCGCCAAAATTATTTTCTGCTAATGAATAATGTTGCACTATTTTAATTATGATTCATTTACTGTGCGATGCATCGATGAAAAAAACTCCGCAAAAAAGTATCTGATATGGTAGCGGCCAGAATTTTTTGTTCATTTTACGTGTTACGCACAGGAGTTCCGTCGGTTTTGACTTGCGGTGCGGTGTGTAAATTAGTTTGTTTAAAGTAGTTTATGTTTATTAAAAATAATTTGGTTTCGGGCTTAAGGTGAAAGGTGAGTGTTGTGATGTGCCCATGTGGAAGAGTCTGCAGGAATCGGCGCGGAAGGCAAAAAAATCAGGATTTAAAGGGTAAGTGTTGAAATTAGGCTTTACGTATCGGTCTATTATTCAATATTAATCTATACTTATATAATAAAGCTGAAGCTGTTGTTTATTTGAACACGCTAATCTCAGAAACTACAGGTTCAAATTCCAAAAATCTTTTTGTGTTGGATAGTCCATGTATCATATCTACATATAGGCTATATAAAATCACGCTACGATCATTAGGAGCGAAGTAGCAATGAAAAATTCGGAAAAACGGGAAAATTATTCCTCCTTTGACAGCTTCCGTTGCTTACGCTGCTTAAACGGTTAAAGTTACGTAAAAATCATGTATGACGAAATTGTTCCCCTCTAAAAGTTCTAAAGAAAAGTCCGCGACAGCATATGTGTATCTTTTAAGGTCGAGTCAGTATAACCTTTTTTATGGTAATGAAATTTGTTCTAAATTAATAATGCATTATGTATAAAATTCTCGCGTCACAATGTTTGTAACCGAACTTCTCCGAAATGGGTAGACCGATTTGTATGAAATTTTTTATGTCTATTCGGTAGGTCTGACAATAGGTTGTAAACTATTTTTTAAACCCCTAAGTGACAAGGGTGGCCCACCCTAAAAAATTGTCTATTTTTTTGACAAATTTTTTTATTTTTATTTTTCTAAGATTTGGCATCAAAAAATACACATAACCCTAAATTTTCACCTTTCTACCACCAACCCCCATTTATTAATCATCTATAAAATAAAAATCAATTGCTGTTCCTATTAGTCTCGCCAAGACTCAAAAACGGCTTGACCGATTTGAAGAAATTTTTATATTACGGGGATTGTTTATAAATTAAAAAAATAGGGGAAACTTAAAAGAACAGCTAAAAAATCAAAAAATCCTAAAAATTTTGTATGGGAATCGCCACTTCAAATTAATTTCAATGGTTGCCGTCTAACTGACGTGTCATACAAAACTAATTCTATCGTGCGATTGTGAAAAGTATATTGCATTTCAAATCGTTCTTTGTTTTTTCGTAAAAAAACGGATATGAAAGTTGATCAGCGTTGTGCTCATAATCAACATAATAGTCAAACATTGAAGCGAGACATTGGGTGGTATGAATAAAACTCAGTAGATACTTATATTCGAAGTACGAAGTACCTACTTCATTATTACTCTTATATACCTGAACATCTACTCTATGTACTGAGTACCTACTGGGAAACATTGTATCTCCCCGGCCACAAACTGAACATCTACGCGTTTTGTGAGCATTTAATCTAGAAATGAGCATCGGCGTGGCAAATAACTGAGCTGTCTGTAAAGTAGCTTAGAAAACCAGTAGGATCGTTTAAGAGTGAATTTTAAGTAAACATGGTTACTTTCATGAATGTGGAACGTCGTCAAAAGATGCATTCAGTTTGAAAAACACATTAGGAGCAGGAATATCGAAAACTTTTCATGTAATTAACTTTTATTTATGCATAAATTGTGCAGTGCGTTTTTTCTAACACTGGCCATAGAGATTCCCATCTCAAGGTGTCTACCCCATACTAACTTATATTTTGGTGACTCGATTTTTGCCTTGATGGTTGAACACTGTCATTGTTGTCCTTTTTTGTTGTATCGAGATGCTACTTGAGCATCAACTGTTACTGAAGTATTAGTATCATCTAGAAAAACTAGAAATATTTTGATTTGATATTCGAGTAGATACTTCGTATTTCGAGTATGAGCATCTACTGAGTTTTATTTATATCAACCATTGTCAAAAAATTGATCGAACGTTGTTTCGACAGAACTTCCTTCGCACCAAAAGTATAATGAAACATATTCAGCATTTTCGAGTTGAGTCTTTTCTTCACACAATTTTGTGATGACCTAATCAACATTTACTATCAACACGTAGGTATACCACCTTGGATTGGTGCAGTGTAATACTAAAAATAACTGTATTGTATTCCCAAAATTATCTGCGAAAATCGAGTGAGCCATTCCATCAATTTTTTGGGGGGAATAAATAAATATTCTTAACAATTTACCATGCCTACAATAACTTTAACACGTCTGCAAGATCTCAGAGTATTCATTTTTGCAACTCTTGAGTTATTCACTAAAATAAATTGACTGATCCATATATTTTTTTGAGTCACTGTAAAAGCAAATCTAAAAAATATGAATGCAGTGATAAATTACGAAAATATACTGATGATATTTTCCACATTTTAGATATGATTTATTCGGCAAAATCTTGAGATGACGTCTTCAAGTTTTTGGGCTTGATAAACAAATATATTTTGATTGAAAACCTACCATGTCAAACAGTAACTTCAAAACGTCTGCAATATTTCAAAATTCAGTTTTGCAATTCTTGATTCAATCAATAAAATAAATTGACTCAGTGATTATTTTTTTTTGAGACACCCCCTATAAGCAAAACTAAAAAATATGAATGGAATGATAAATCACAAGTATAGTCTCATCCTATTTTGGACATTTTAGATAGGATTCATTTGGCAAAAGTTTGGGTTGACGCCATCAATTTTTTGGAGGGGATAAGTAAATATATTTTGAATAAAAATTTATTATGCTTATCATATGTTTAAAACATCTGCAAGATTTCAAAGCATTCGATTTTGCAGATTCAAAATTAAATTGTAGGTGAAACGGAGTTCACGGGGTCAGCTAGTTATTAAATAAATCATAATTAAATTCTTAATTCTTCCAGTTCTTTTATTCCTCTTCGGCTGAAACAATTTGGAATATCTAATAGGTTTTTATCAGTGCTAATTATTATTTAAAAATTAGATCCAATTTAACTATAAATATTATTCATTGTAATTTATCGTTATATTTTTGTGAAACATTTAAAATTCAGAATTATTTTGAAAACATTTTTGTACTTGGGACATACTTAACTACAACTAAAATAAGTTCACTAAATCAGCAAAACATTTCAGACAATCATTTTAATTATAAACAATGGTCTTCAATCTTTGAGTTTATTGGGAAGTGTTTATTGAAGTTTCGGTTAAATTAGTGTTCTTAACGTAGTATGTATATGTATTACACTTTTATGTCTTGTTTTGTGGACATTCCCCAATTTATGGAGTAAAAATATTGATTTCCGTTTCCGTCTGTTTCTTTATTAGCGAATTTTTAA